GAGGAACTAGAGCAGACATTGTAAAATCTTACCTCAAATTTCTCCATTATGGAAATTTGTTCATACCTTAAAACTATCTACGAACATGAGAGCACATTTGGGGGAGGTAGTACAAATTTTCCTTTGAAGTTACTTTTAATTGGAGACGGAAAAGTACCTCATTTTGAAAATAAAATACCTATTGATCAAGATTTAGGAGAAAAAGTGACTAGCATTGAGAGTTTAATATCAAAAGTTTACCCAGATATCGTCGAAATAGAAAATAAAGATTATCAATGGATGTGTCAACGAGCAATATTGGCGGCGAGAAACAGTAGTGTTGACGAAATTAACGATTTAATTTTAACTAAACTTCCAGGGGATATAGTTACCTACACTTCTATTGATAATGTAATGGATCAAGAAGATGCAGTCCATTATCCACAGGAATTTCTTAATTCTTTAAACCCGAGTGGCCTCCCCCCACATTCTCTCAATTTAAAAATTGGTGCCCCAATTTAATTACTTAGAAATCTTAAGCCACCAAATTTATGTAACGGTACTCGACTTCAGGTTAAATTTCTTCGCAATATCGTGATCGTTGCAACAGTTTTGACTGGTCCAGCGGTTGGTCAAACAGTACTTATACCTCGGATCCCAATGATTGCCTTTTCATTTTAAAAGAGTCCAATTTCCAATTAAATTATCTTTTGCCGTAACGATAAATAAATCACAGGGGCAAACATTTAAATATGTAGGATTAGATTTACGGCAAGACTGTTTTTCGCACGGCCAACTATATGTCGCGTTGTCAAGATCAGGTTGCGGAAACAATCAATATATTCTTCTGCCACAAGAAAATAAAACGAAAAATATAATTTACTCAGAAGTACTTTAAAATAATATTTTAACCCGGTTTAAAGTGGACGGACACTCCCGCCTGTAGTCGTAATTCTTATGTGTCTGGCTGAATGTCGAACAGATAGACAGCTATTGCTTGCGACTTATACAATTTAACTTAATCTATATTTTTCTTAATATTATAAAGCTGAAAAGTTTGGTTGTTTGTTATGAAGGCGGTAATCTCGGGAAATACTGATTTCTGATATGAAAACTGTTTAAATATTCAATAGTCCATTTATTGAGGGAGGCTATAATATAGGCAATATTTTATCTCGGTATTTCCACGGAAACGAGAAAAACGCAGGTGAAACCGCGGGGCACAGCTAGTCTATAAACAAAAGGCAAAGGTCTCTACACTTGCTGACCATCAGTGTGGATGTAAACAAAAGATAAATGTTTGTGAAAGAAAGATATCTTTGTGTCTTTGGCGGCCGACTCTGGTCGCTCATGATTGAAATGATTAATTAAAAAAAGAAGTTAAGTCGCTACACCCGAACTCGGCGTTACAGCCAAAGTCGCTATAGCCACATGAATTTTGTACTAAAGTATGCTTTAAGTTCATGGGACTTAGATTTAACGTCGCTGTGTGCGTGTGCACGTGTGTACGCGCGTGCGTGCGTGCTTGCGTGCGTGCGTGCTTGCGCGCGTGCGTGCGTGCGTGTGTGTGTATGTATGTATGTGTGTGTGTGTGTGTGTGTGTGTGTGTGTGTGTGTGTGTGTGTGTGTGTCGCGTGCATGCGTGTGTGTGTGCGTGCATGCGTGCGTGCGTGCTGCTTGCGTGCGTGCGTGCGTGCGTGCGTGCGTGCGTGCGTGCGTGTGCGTGTGTGTGTGTGTGTGTGTGTGTGTGTGTGTGTGTGTGTGTGTGTGTGTGTGTGTGTGTCGTGTGCGTGTGTGTGTGTGTGTGTGTGTGTGTGTGTGTGTGTGTGTGTGTGTGTGTGTTTGCCAGCGCTCGTGTGTACGCGCGTCTGTGTGCACGTGTTTGTGTGCGTATGTGCGCTCGTGTTTGTGCGAGTGTGTGTGCGCGTGTGTGTGCGCGTGTGTGTGCGCGTATGTGTGCGAGTGTGTGTGCACGTGTGTGGACGTGTGTGTGAATAAAATGTTATCATTAGATAAACGTAAGAACGCGTTTGAATTTAGCGCTCCTTCAAGACATCCGCGTTTTCCGTCATAGCTCCACTGAAGCCTCCAACCCGCAGAACCGTTCTTGGCTCCAACTCTCCATTACCCAGACTGTGTAAGCTGCTAAATAGCTACAAAGACATAGTTGAAGTAAACTTTGATTCCGCTTACATTTTCCGTAATGCTGCGGATACACTAAAGAGCAACATCAATGCCCATAAACGCAACAATTATTGCCTTAACGCGATAAAATGAGTGGCTACACTTGAACGGTCAACGTCGTTTCAATTTCAACGTCGTTGAACGGCATTAAATTTGCCGTTGAACGGTGTTAAATGTTTCGACCCGGGAAGGACCACGCTCTCACAGAATACCAGCGTAAAATAGTAGCTTAATGCTGCTGTGTTTCGTATGGTGAGTGTAGAGAACCGGAGACTGCTTTTACTGCAGCCGCAGCATAATGCTGCGGCTACACTAAGGAGTAATGCCGTTAATTATCGCGTTGATGGACGTTGAATGTAGGTGTGGCCACGAATTAACGCTAAAATTACTTTAATATTATGTTAAAAATACTCACAGATGAAAAGTCACATTGTCCTTTTGTATACTTGACGATTTTGATTGTTTTTTTTTATGTAAATACACTGCAATTCGGCGTTTTGTCGGAGCTCGAATTACTGACACGATCATTTCGGAATGACGCACGACGCGGAGCAACTAGTTTTATATAACGAGTATGAGTCGGACTCTCGTACCTTTACAGAGGGGTATGCCTTGCGATGCCGTCTCCTTTGGTTTAATACTCAAAGGGCATATGTAAGAAATAAACATGTACCGACAAATGTGCACCAATTATTTTCGCGTGATTGGATATTGAAAAATAAAAGAGAAAGGCTGTTACTTATCATTCGCTTGAGTACGAATCATAAATTCTTAAATGTAGAGATTATATTCATTTTCGTTAAGCAAACAGTATAATATATTATGTATACTATAGAGCGAACATTGAGAACATTTACGTACAAAAACTTACAACTCACGCGTGTGGCGACCTCTAGCTAAACATAGCAAAATTACTCTTGAATATTTATTTGGAAAACATTTCATCTGTTCCCCAATAGGTGACGCTAATAATTTATTTATTGGTATAAGTACAGTATCATTTACTGTTGCACCTCTTTAAACATTGTAAATGATTAAATCTGCATCGTGTTTAATATTTTTATCGATAGCACCAATCGATAAACATTATTAATCACTAACTTATTTGGATAATAAATATTGACCTTACTGAATAACAGAGGGCGCTTATTACAATAATGATAAATCTTCTAGAAAAATCTACCAGAAGTAATAAAATGTTATTACTTCTGGTAGATTTTTCTAGAAGATTTCTAAATGTAGAAATTATTGGGTAAAAATATATTATACTTGCGATAATAAACCGAAATCACATTCAGATTATGCTCCATATCGGGATTTACAATACCTTAATGCACAATCGGGCACATTTTCTTTAAAATATATTTTTTTTTAATTTAGAAAACTAAAGCGTACTGACCTTTTGATGATGTTACTAACTCACTAAGACTAAATGACATAAATTCAAAATATATCCTATATGACAAAAGTAACAGAAGACCATTTTGTTGCTATACTTACTATGCTTGCACTACTTAAATGTCTTTATCGTTAAGGGTATTTCTAGAATTATTAATGAGCAAATTCAGATTCTTAACGTTAGATGTCACTGTAATACCGCATTATTTGAAAACGCACCATAACTTTTAGTAATAGATAACATTTTGTCTTAATTCAAAAACGTTCTAAGATTGACAAAAATGTTTGCTGCATGTCGCTAGGTGTCGGAATAATTAATTTACGCTATTATAGGCACAATGCTAATAGACATAACTTTGACTGCCCTACCCACGGAATATAAATAATAAGAGGAAGTTTTTAAGTTGGTAGAGCAATGCTGCAGCTATATTGTGGTTGCAGCACGAATGTGTCGGCTCGACCGGGGTTCTCACGCTCTCACAGAATACCAGCGTAAAATAGCAGCTTAATTCTCATGTGCTTCATATGGTGAGTGTAAAGAACCGGAGACCCTTGTTACTGGAAACGAGGCACTCCAACTCAGTCCTCAGGGCTGGCAACGCGTCTGCATTTTAATTCTTAATTGAAGATAAATGATATTTATATTCAATTAAGAATTTATTTATAGAAGAGAAATAAAATTTTGCCCACTTTGGGATTCTTCTTTTTTTATATTCCGTGGACAGCTTCATGCGCCTGAATTTTGCTATCGTCATCTATGAGCGTCAAATCCCGGGAGACATCCAAACCCGTTAGTAATGCAAGGGGTTTGAATTCGGTTATGCCGACAGAACACTAACACCATCACACATGAACACCGTTGACCTCTATATATACGTAGGTATATATAGAGGTCAGTGACTAACCCTTAGGTTATGCCCTTTAAAACGCTTGCATAATGTTACACATTCTCGTTAGATGGCGTTTAGTAAGAAACAAAATGTAAATTTTTTCTACTCGCCGATAGATGGTGGTGATGAACAGAGATTCCGATGGATGGATTCCGAGAACCGAGAATGAAATGGTGGAACCGAGAATGTAATATTTCTTGCAATTCTCTCGAAGTTGTGGATTGAAGTTGAGAATTGAGATTTTAACTTTTATCTAGTATTTATTTATGTTGAACTTAAAGACATGTTTCATGTTCGTTTTTTGTCTTTCTTACGTTTCGGTTAAACTAAGTAATATTTCAATTTGTCATAATCGTAGAATTTAGATTCTGTATTAAATTGAGGTAAGCAAAATGTAATAACATGATGTGCCTTAAAAATAAGCCATTTTCGAACCCAAAAGCAACCTTCTTACCATTGTAGAAGTATTTATGATATTTGAATGTTTTCCCCCATTTATAACCCTACGTGATACTAATAATAAAAAAACTTTCAGAAACAAACATGGAAATGGTTGAAGTTGATCCTAAACTTTTTGTTACTTGTCGACTTTGCTTGGATCATATGGGAGTATACCAGATTGTGCCAAATGTGCAACAACAAATAAAATTTTGCTACGACATTGAGGTGAGGAGTATGGCAGCCTTTATGTACTTAAAGTGTGCTTAAAATGCTCTATTAAAATACATATTCATATTTAAATTACCTAAACATTATTATACTATGTTGACTGCTGACTGATTAGGCAAGTCCAACTTTACCTGAGAAGTAAATAAATGAAACCCGGCTGGGAAGCATTTTTGGGATAATAAGTTTATGAGTTATTTTCTTGTCACATATTCCTCAAAACTTGAAAAGAGTGTTCCACTAGCGAGTGTAACAGTGGCAGTGATTACATTTGGATCTGAGACATGATCCAGCGGGATGTATGAGAAAGCACACAGTCCTTTAGCGAACTATGGGTAGAGGGCTGTATTTTATTGGGCTATGGATAGTGATTATGCAGAGAAATGATAGAATTCAAAATTAAGATATCTGCAGTCAAACTAGAGTAACTGACATTGCCTAATGGGCCAGTAAACTGAAGAGGCAATGGGTCGGCCATATAGCTCAAATAACCGACAATGAATGGGGAAGAAAAGTTGTTGATTGATAGCTAAACACTAAAGAATGAAGACTGGCATCTCTAGATGGAATGATGACTTAGGTTTGATACTGGCCTTGGGTAAGGCTATGGTGATGATGATGAGCTCATTCTATTTATTGCAGTTTTCTCATGTGCTTATTCAAAAGTAACAACAACAAAAATATTTAAGTAACACATTATATCTGTTAGATGAAATATTGATGTTATTATTGTTATTACACCAGTATAGTGTATTAATTATTACATTAATATTTACAGGTTGACCCATTTGACGGTTTGCCTCAGTTGATTTGTAAGACCTGTGAATGTATTTTGAGCAAGTATATTGCCCTTAAAACCACTTATATTGACAAGCAAAAAACATTAAGAGAGAAATTGGAGAGAAATGTTGTAAGTACCATTATACGAAAAAAAATTGTTAGCTATCACTTTAATATTTTAACATCTGTAGGTACCTATATGAAAGTTAATTTGGGTGTTTTAGTGAAGCTATATTCATTTATTTTTCCTTAAACTTTTTTTAATTTTATAGCACTATGGTATCCCTTTTAATTCAATGAGATTGCTGATTCCTTTGAATGTGAGTTTTGCACCTTTTAAAATTTAATATTTTAAATTTGTTTTTTGAAATTAAAGTGGACATAATTTTGGTAACTACATGTAAATAATAGATTATCATATTACCTGGTTATCTTCTGAAGGCTTTCTATAATTGACAATAAATCTTTTCCATTTCAATATTTGTTGAAGATAATGTTCCCTGCAGATTAGTTTAGTTAGTTTACGACGGGCTATTTTCCACAGCTCTATGTCTAAGCACATATTTTGCATGTGGGATAATATTGTGACTATTCGGGATATGAAATCTCCCTGAAGAAGTTCAACAGTCCTTTGATATAGCGAACAACTTCAGGGAGTGATCCTGGCTTGCCGTGATGTTTACATTTTAACAAGACAGCAAGATGTGGGCCGCCGCCTCCTCCCCCATACATGCCCTGCTCAGGAGACTAGCTGTAACACCTATGGTAAATAAATGTTTGTTAAACGAGCCATGTCTTGTAATAGCAATTGTTGCTATCCTGATCTGTGGCTTGTTCAATCTCATTAAGGCTTTTGTTATACAACTGTTTATTTCTAGCAGGGCCTCCCTAGCTTGCCTATAGTCCACTAGTTTTTTCCAAAACTAAGCATGTTATCCAGTAAAGTTTTTACATACCAGTGAATAATCATACCAAAAGGGATCGGTTTCGGCCCTTAACGGCTGTAGCCGATCCTCTTCTGACCAGTTCGTTTGCTGAGTCATTGCCCTTGATTCCATTGTGCTCCTTGATTCACTGCAGTCAAATTGTTGCGTTTACATACCTCATTTAGTCATTGATGATATTCGTATATTAGTCACGAGTTCACCACATTGCAACTCAGAGCTTGTAGTACCTTCAAACTGTCTGTCAGTATTTTGATAAAGAAGTCTTTTACCTTCCTTGCATCTATTGCTATGGCCGCTTGGATAATGCCCATAGATTCTGCCTGAAAGACAGTGTTGTGGGTACCCAGCGGTGAACATATGTGGATATTGAGGTCTTCCGAGAAAGTTCCAGATCCTACACCTTCATTTGTTTTAGAATCATCCTTGAAAACTCTAAGCTCTTTTAGGCTTAACCCCTTCGCTGGTTAGATTCAATTAATTGTATCTTATTTTTCTTATTGAATACATATTTAGCGATCTTATCATAATTGACTTCTAAGATAGGAATTTTCGAGTAAATTCTATCAGTTATACCTGTTCGAGGGATTCTGCTCTTACTCCAAATATCGGTCTTGAGTCTAATGGCAGCTAAAATCGCTTCTTGTTGTATGTGTAGGTAAGCTTCAGCGTATCCTTTGAGGCTGCTGTCGATGTATGCAGCCTGTGGCAGCCATACATGCCAGTCTCTGGTAACGCTTAAGCTTCTTTATAGTGGTGGCATTTGTTTTAGACCATACCAAAGCGCGGTATGTGATCATGGGCCAAATTATAGTTTTGTAGAGCCACAGTATAATTATTGGTGTCAGACCCCATCATTTGCCAGTCATGTTTCTGCAATCCAAAAAGTTATACTAGCCATTTTGATTTTGTTTTATATGTGTTTATTCCAGTTCAGTTTACTGTCCAAGGTATAGACTCCAGTACACGTTGGCCGAACACGCTCGCCGAGCGCGCTCGGCAAATTTTCGTGGTGCCGTTCACAAGTTGGCGTGTTTCATTCTGCGTTGGTAGCTAGATGAAGATGGATGTTTAGGCGATCGAAAAAAACTAGACATACAACAATAATTCCAGTTTGTCCTTTTTAGGGTTCCGACCTCAAAAGGAAAAAAGATACTCTTATAGGAGTTATTAGCTGACCCATGCCCACTTCGCTGGGCGTATTTTCAAAATAAAAGATAGCCTAAAAGTACAGTACACAGCTACATTATCCCTGAGCAACATAAACTCAGAGATAATTTATAATAATAATTATCATTAGGTAGGTACTCTGAAATCGCAACTAAGCATCTAATATTTAATGCAGTTAGGCAAGTTACTCTGGTTTTATTTTTATGTTGCTCATGTTGGGAGTTTCATATAACTTAATCATTGTGATAATAATCAATGAACCTAAATATTTCCTCATTAGTCTGTGTCGCCATATTCGTGAAACAATATTATGTGGCCGACACTACGGACTACTCCGACACGTAACTATGAACTGAACACTCGACCAACGTGTGATCGCTGTTTGCGGCTTGCGCCAAATTTCTTTGTTTTGTGCACGGAAAACCGACAGTATTTGGCTTGTCGGCGAGTGTTCACAAATACACACAAAACGGCCCAGTACACATTGGCCAAATGCACTCGGCGAGCGCGTTCGGCCAACGTATACTGCTACCTTAAGACCTAAATATTTTACCTCAGATGATAGCTAGTTTTGTGCTGAAAAGACTTGGGAGGTGATAGTTATTCAGTATTCGTTTTTGTGTGAACATTACTAGAACCGTGTTATTTGGATTAATGGTAAAATCATATTCTTTGCAACAACTCTCCACTATACGGAGAGCCGCTTGGGTCACACTGCACACCATGCTTGCTATTCTTCCCGAGACCAGTATTGTCAGGTCATCTGCATAACCAATTGTATGGAAGTGGTTGGTATTTAATTTGCTGATGAGTACATTTATGACCATCTTCCACAAGAGGTGTGGAAAACCCCACCCTGCGGGCAGCCTTTCTTAATCTGGATTGCTTGAGATTATCCAGAAATCTTTATTGTTAATGTACTGAGCATGTTTACTATCGAGTCAATCAGTATCGGGAACTTTGTCTGCTTAGTGCAACTTTTTCCTAAAGAAGTTTGTTCTGTCAAAAGCACCTTCTATATCTATGAAAGCATATTTCTTTGTTTTTGATGGCCTCTTTAATCTGATGAAATCTTCAAAAAGGAAGTGCCCATTCTGTCAATTTGCCTAAGCTGTTGCAGTTCGTTAGCGCCGACCCCCTTAATTCCCTTTTACCCATTCTCTCCATCGTCTTTATCTTGTAGAATCGTATCACGCATAGTATCATGTAGAATGTACGAAAGTAAATACTTCCAACGATCAAAAACTGCGGTCGTAGTTGACGATGCTCTAGCACGCACAAAATAAAATCAACTGACGCATGTCCAATCTCGACAAGCGCTCGCGCGGTAAGGTCGGTGCATTGGAATATCTGGTACTCTTATTTAATTTATTAAAAAATAATAGTAACGTTTCAAAAAGTACAAATCAGAGTATAGTTGCATCGGGAGAATGATTATTACTAAATAAATCAATAAGTTATCTAATTTTTTCTCTGAGGTTATTGTAGTTGTGAAACCGAACTATTTTTACCAAGTAATTGTTATTTCAAGTAACGAACGAAATACATACAATTTCAGCGAGGAAACCTTGTAATTTCGCGTTTTTTTTTTGTAATACTCCTCTTAACGCATTTAAATCATTTGAGCGGCGACGTTTTATTAAAGTCTGTACACTTAAATAAGTGTTGGCAGTGCACGATATTATCACACAGACATTTCTTTGAACAACTAGTCGCCGTACTTACGTACGCCTGATATTTCGGCGACGAAGTATTATTACAGCGACGATTACTATCGTTACCTCGACAACCATGATGCACTGTTAGAATGGTACCAGCCCTTTGTCATTCTTGTTACCTGCGTGAAATAATTATGGTTCATAAAAGATAGCTTGATCTCTGCGACAGCTATCAGTAAAATTCACGCCTATGAAGTCCTGAATTTCTTAGTAGTACAGACAGTACCTGTCATAATTTATGGGCATGCCGACCTAATTAGTACATGCCCATAAAGTATGTCATTGACAGGTACTGTCTGTACTACTAAGAAATTCAAGACTTCATAGGCGTGATTTTACTGTCAATGACATACTTTATGGGCATGCACTAATTAGGTCGGCATGCCTATAAAGTATGACAGGTACTGTCTGTACTACTAAGAAATTCAAGACTTCATAGGCGTGATTTTACTGACAGCTGTCGCAGAGATCAAGCTATCTTTTATGAACTATACCTACAATCGCGAGGCACCCAAGCCAGGGTAACATACGCAGTCGGGGCCGGCGCGTTGTAGGCGATTTAATGTTAAAGCTTTTTAACGCTGCTGTTTACGTAAATAGTTTCTTGTAAATACTCGTTGAAATAGTTTTTTAGTGTTTAGTATATTTAATTATAGGATAAAAAAGTTTTAATGTAATTTAAAAATTATATATATTATGTATGTAATTTACATACTTGATCAATTGTAATGGCAAAAGTCGTTCCTACTATAACTTGCGTGGAGAGATGCTAAATGACCAACAAAAGATTTCAGACATATAATTTTTTAAGTTACCGAAAGATTTTAGTAGGAAGTTATGAAAGGTCAATTAATTTTATTTTAAGGTACTTAAAGCAAAAAAGAATTAGTAATAAAATAGAAGTAATAATTTACGTACATTATTACAAAACTTAGTTCAAATTATTTCACTATCCCAGTATCTACTTGTATACCTTTAATTGTCCTTAGAAATTAAAATATTTGAAGTTACAATAACACAAAATATTGAAATAAAAACTTTGTGTGCTAACAAGATTTTTAACTAAGTAGAATACGATTACATTTCTGTTAGGAGTCGTATTTGAGGTTTATTTGTTGTTTCTTCCGAGCCAAATATCGCGATTCCCGACGGATGGCCATGCAAGTTGCATACGTTGGGCATCGCAGAACTCGCATAGGTGCGAAAATATCGTCAGTCGATCATAGTCAGAATAGGTACTTCACCTAAGTAACTTAATTAACATTTCGCAATGTATTATTTTATTCTTTATTGACATC